CATTCCTCAATATAATAAAGGCCATATATGAGAGAGCTACAGCCAACATCATACACAATGGACAAAAACTAAAAGCTTTTCCACTATGATCAGGAACAAGACAAGGATGTCCACTTTAACCACTTCTATTCAGTACAGTTTTGGAAGGTTTGGCCACAGCGATCAGGCAGGAAAAGGAAATAAAAGGCATCCAAATAGGAAAGGAGGAAACAAAACTGTCACTGTTTGCAGATGACATGATAGTGTACATGGAAAATCCTATAGACTCTACCAAAAAACTGCTCAAACTAATTAATGAATTTGGCAAAACAGCTGGTTACAAAGTCAATATCCAGAAATCAAAGGCATTTTTGTATATCACCAGTGAATCAGCAGAAGCAGGAATCAAGGGAAAAAATTCCATTCGATATAGCAAAAAGAAAAATAAAATATCTGGGAATAAACCTAACCAAGGAGGTAAAAGACCTGTATGCAGAAAACTACACAGCCCTGAAGAAAGAAATCAAGGAAGACACAAACAAATGGAAACATATACCTTGTTCATGGATTGGAAGCATTAACATCATCAAAATGCCCATACTACCCAAAGCAATATACAGGTTCAATGCAATACCTAGTAAAGTACCAAATGCATATTTCACAGACATAGAACAAACAATTCAGAAATATATATGGAACCATAAACGACCCTGAATAGCAGCTGTACTTTTGAGAAAGAAGAACAAAGTAGGAGGAATCACAATACCTGATATCAAACTGTATTACAAGGCCACTGTAATCAAAACAGCCCGGTACTGGCATAAAGACAGGCACATAGACCAATGGAACAGAACAGAGAGCCCAGAAATCAACCCAACTCTCTACAGTCAATTAATACTCGACAAAGAGGGCAGTAACATAAAATGGAGTCAAGATAGCCTCTTCAACAAATGGTGTTGGGAGAACTGGACAGCTATGTGCAAAAAAATGAAACTTGAGCAAAGACTTACACCATACACCAAAATAAATTCAAGGTGGATTTATATATTCAAGGTGGACTTAAATATAAGCCCTGACACCATTAAAGTCCTAGAGAAGAACATAGGCAAGAAAATCTCAGATTTTCCACGCAGCAACATTTCTACTGATATGTCCCCTAGAGCAAGAAATATAAAGGAAAGAATTAACAAATGGAATCTCATCAAAATAAAAAGTTTCTGCCTGGCTAAAGAAAATAGTATTAAATTAAAAAGACAACCAACTGTATGGGAAAAAATATTTGACAATGATATCTAGACAAAGGTTTAATCTCCAAAATATACAAAGAACTTACACGACTCCACTCTAAGAGGACATCTAACCCAATTAAAAAATGGGAAAAGGACTTGAACAGACATTTCTCCAAGGAGGACATACAGAATATCCAGAGACACATGAAGAGATGCTCAATATTGTTAGCTATCAGAGAGATGCAAATTAAAACCACAATGCGATACCACTTTACACCAGTCAGGATGGCTATCATAAACCAAGTATCAAACAACAAATGTTGGAGAGGTTGTGGGGGAAAGGGGTCCTTAGTTCACTGTTGGTGGGATTGCAGACTGGTACAACCATTTGGAAAACAGTATGAAATTTTCTCAGAAAAATAAAAATCGACCTGCCTTTTGACCCAGCAATTCCACTGGTAGGATGATATCCCAAGAATCCTAAAACATCAATTTCAAAGAACCTATGCACCACAATGTTCATAGCAGCACAATTTACAATAGCCAAGAGCTGGAAGCAACCTAGGTGCCTGTCAGTAAATGAATGGATCAAAAAATTGTGGTACATATACACAATGGAATTCTATGCAGCAGAGAGAAAGAAGGAGCTACTACCCTTCGCAACAACATGGATGGAACTGGAAAGCATTATGCTGAGTGAAATAGGCCAGGTGCTGAAAGACAAATACCATATGATCTCACCTTCAACAGGAAGCTAAACAACAAAACAAACAAACAAGCAGAATAAAAACAAAGACACTGAAATAGAGAACAAGTGGGCAGTGACCAGAGGGGAGAGGGAAGGGAATTTAAGCGGGAAAAAGGGGAGGGGTTTAGAGGAAGAAGTATGAGGGACACAGGGATGAGGACTGGGGGGAAGGAAATGGGAGGGAGATGGGGAGCACGGGGCGGGGGGGGCTGGGGTGAGAGAAATATACAAAAAACTGTATTTAAAAAATAACTAAATAAAAAAGTAGCTCAATGATTAATTGGAATTTCATTGAATCTGGCATTTAATTTGTATAAATTAATATGGATTGAATATATAATCCATAAACATAACACAGAGGTAGAAAATATGGTGGCCAAGTAGGTGGGAGCTGAGTCAACTTGCTCTTGCACTCAACTTGGGCACTTAGCTTGTAACTGGAAAAGGCACTGGCATTCAGGCTGCCTATCACTACCAAACCGATAAACAATGAGAATGATTGAATATTTATGGGTGCTTTATTCAGATGGCCGGCGATCTGAGAAGATGGTATGTCCATACCCTAACACACCATTTTTCCTTCTCTTTATTAGCCAGACTTTTTATACCAGGGGATGGTGAGGAGTGGTGAGGGCTTTGAGATGAGATGATAGAAGCTACAACATTCCTTCCCTGGGCAGTTTGCTGTTCCCAGAGGAGGGAGGTCGTCTGTTTCTCCCTGGAACACAAAGGCCCCTGATGCCTCCAGTTGTCGGCAGAAGATAATCTTTAGCAGTGCCCAAGGAGGTGGGCTGTTTTCCCAGGAGCCAGGTCGGGCCTTACCTGTAGTTTCTGAAACAAAATCTTTAACATACACATTACTTGCTAGACTTACAACTTTTTACGTTAAGTTAAAATTTTCCAAGTCTTGTGTCTCCTATCAAGCTGATTTCTGTAAAACTGTGAACAGTAAACAGAATCTTAGCTGATATGAAGTTTAGAAGCCAAAGAGTTCAAAGCATGCTTCAAAATGGGCATCTGTGGAGAGCCAGGTCAGAGATAGCCTGGCAGCTCCTTCCCTTCCCTGGATGGGGAATCCCCCTGACCTTGCCAGGAGCAACTTTGATATGTAAAGTCATCGAGGAGAACCAGAATACATACAAATACAGCTAGTGACACACTAGCTTCACTGTAGAGACTGACTGGGAGAATTTCAGAAAGTGAGAAAGATACTGTCTGCACCTGGATGTGGTTAGCGGAGGAGGGCTGCAGCTGGCTGTGACTGAGATAGACTCTTGACTTTTTAGAGAGGTGGGGTGTGTGGAAATTGGGGCAGCAGCTCAGCACTGCAGTGGCAGCACCTACTGAGACTTTTTAAAAGAGGAGCTGAGTCATGCTGAGCAGGGACCATGAGCACACTGCTGCTCTGCCAGTCAGAAGGGAGGATTTACATAATTTGTTCCCACTCAGTATAGCCAGGTGGATTAATCAAAGGGATGCAAAGTGAGGTGTTTTCTTTACTCATTGCACCCGCGATGTCTCCTTGTCTCCAGATGAAAAGCATAGGTGTGCATTCAAGACTGCTCTACCCAGCAAGGCTGTTATTTAAAATGGACAGCAAGACACATCATTGATCCAAGATGATAGAGGAGTAAATAGAAACACTAACCTTTCCCCAGGACCAATCTGGATTTCCAGCTAGGTTGCAGAGAAATCACCTGGAATAAACAACTAAACAATAATGATAAAAAAATCTTTATAAGTATGAACAGACAGTAGAAAAAGCTTCACCACAACATGACTGATTTGGAGTGGAGAGGAGGTTCAAGAGGGTTGGCTGGGCTCCCAGGGGTGGCAAATACAGTAACAGAGAAATAGTTCAGTTGCCATGGGGTTCCTCCTGAGAAGTGTGGGGTCTAGACTCCAAGCTGGCTTTTCCAGCCTACAGCACCAGAGATGAAAAGAACCCAGATAACATCTAGCTGTGAAAAGCAGAAGGGTTTCTCTATTCCAGAGACATATGGCTGGAGTCACAGAAAGCGTTTTAAAAGGTCAATGCTTAAAATTTTATTTTTAGCCACTAACCCTGGGCTACAGAAAAGGGTGGCTGTAAAGTGACTAGTGACAACTGAGGAGAGACAAGGACAGTGGCTTTGGGGAGAGAACTAGGGAGCAGCCACCAGAACCCCACTGATGAGTCATCCCCCACACATTAGGAGCTATCTTAGCAGACAACTCCCCTCCAAGTGGCATCAGCCCAAGGAGAAGCAATAGCCCCACTCACTGGAACAACTCTGCACCACCCCGTAGTGCCTATGCCTGACTGCTGACTACAGAGTGACTAGATTAACAACTGAAGTAATGAGCCATAGACTGTGGATCCCTGGTAGTCTCAAACAGGCTTCCTAATGCTAGACTGGGACACCCTCTGACATTACAAGAGGTGAACCCAGAAAGAAAGAAAGAAACAGTGTTAAATACTTCATGCTACATATAATGAGATGAATACCAACAGTCTTTTTCACAATTTGTGAAATTATCTCTATTCCAAAGCTTTTTAATATTCATTTCTTGTTCCTCAATTTTGTGCATATTAAGTCACTAGATTTTATAATTTATTTCAAAGCTCATATTTTGCTCCTCCCTTTTCTTACCCTATTTAACCTTCTTCTTTCCTCACCTTTCTTTTGTTTTAAATTTTGTTTTTCTCTTGCTATAATTTCTTTCCATTTTAAACTATTTCTCACCCCTCCAAATTTTCAAAATCATTTTTCTTGTCATTGGTCATCTTATATTCTTTTTTCCTGTATTAAAATACTCCTGTTTTCTCTCTACCTTAATCGAACTTTGCTCTTTTGTTGTGGACAGGGCATTTGTTACATTTATTCAATTTTATCTCTATATTTCCACTACTTGGGTATTTCAAATCTCAAACTTTACTCTTTTTCTCTCCTACTACATTCTGCCTTCCTCTGCTCTTTATTTTTGGTCTCAAATGTTAATTCTTTTCTGGTTATATTCTGGTTTTCATTCCTCACTCTTAGTATGCCTTCTCCCTCTTTCAGCTCAAAATCAAATGTCTTGCCCAGTCGGTGAGCCACCACCGAGGACTCAGCAACCTTCCCCTCGAGCCCCCCTCATTTCCTGACACTCCGTCCCCCCTGCCCACCTTCTCCCGCCGCAGCCTTCTGCAGGCCGTTTCCACCAATGAAAAGGAATCGTATCATATATCCGCTATCCAGAACTTCCACTCTTTCGACCCCTTTGCTGATGCAAGTAAGGGTAATGATCTGCTTCCTGCTGACACTGAGGATTATATCCATATAAGAACTCAACAGAGAAACGGCAGGAAGACCCTTACTACTGTCCAAGGGATTGCTGATGATTACGATAAAAAGAAATTAGTGAAGGCGTTTAAGAAGAAATTTGCCTGCAATGGTACTGTAATTGAGCATCCAGAATATGGAGAAGTAATTCAGCTACAGGGTGACCAGCGCAAGAACATATGCCAGTTCCTGGTAGAGATTGGACTGGCTAAGGATGACCAGCTGAAGGTTCATGGGTTTTAAGTGCTTTTTGGCTCACTGAAGCTTAAGTGAGGATTTCCTTGCAATGAGTAGAATTTCTCTTCTGTCCCTTGTCACAAGTTTAAAAACCTCACAGCTTGTATAATGTAACCATTTGGGGTCTGCTTTTAACTCGGACTAGTGTAACTCCTTCATGCAATAAACTGAAAAGAGCCATACTGTCTAGTCTTGAAGTCCCTCACTTAAACGGAGGTCAGGCAGGAGGCACCTGGCAGTGTCCAGCCTGAAACAAAGCAATAATGTGATGTTTCAGCCAAGTGCAGAGCCCCAAGATCACAGGTGGCCATGTCTGGCCAGAGTTCCTTGCCCTCCTAGAATGTCACCATCTGAGCAGCCCTTGGTGAAGCTGACAGAAGGAGTGAGGTGGCGGCAGCATGTTACCGCTAGAGGGAGCCTGGGGTAGTCAAAGATCTCCAACCTGACCGGTGGGTGGAGCTTAGAGCGGCCACCTTTCCTCTAAGCAGGGTGATGAGTATATCTGGTGTGCCACCGAGGTCTTTTTAACCAGACATATCTCAGCTAATTGATGTCCAAACACCAGAATCTGAGGACAACCTCCCATCAGAGTTAAACTTTTGACAAGGGAACAAATTTCAAAATGATGTGTCAGTCATCTAGCTAGCTGTAGTGCTCACAACTTTACTAGCGACACCTGCCCAATGCCATGTGAAGTAATGAACTGAGTTTTGGATTTTTCCCCCTTCAGTTTTAATGTTATGTAGTGTGTTTAAACACTTATTTAAATAAAACTTGTTTTCAGAAACAAACAAAAAAAATCAAATGTCTTTCTTCTAGACATCGCTTAAGCTTTTCTTTCTTTCTTTTTCCCTTTTATCCCTAACCCAAATATATTAATCTTGGCTCATTTGTTTTTGATAGAGCTGTGGTTGGTCTTTTTCTCCAATATAATTCCTATTTTGTATTTATTTACTCATTTTTTCCTTTTTATTTATCTCTCTCACTATATTTACTTAACTTTCTCTTTAAGCCTAATACTATATGCTTCCCTTCTCTTGCTTCATTCTAACTTTATTACTTTTTAAATTTATAGTGTAAAAATTTCTTTATCTCTTTTCATTGTCCTGAATCCCTGCTATTATTATTGCTGCTCCCCGAACCCTCTCAAAATCACTTTACTGTTAGTCATCTCATATTCACTTCCCCTTTATTATAATAGTCTTCATCTTTTTAAACTCTTGTTAATACTTGATAGTGGGATTGTGAATGGGGGATATTTTTGTGGGTGTTGGTTTTTCCTGGGCTGTGTAGTTTTGTTGTGCTAGCACCAGCACAACAGCATACAAGCTGTGGTGGGCAGAGTGGCTCTCAGTCAGCCAAATGGAGGGAAGGACCTACCAAGGGAGTATCAAATATCAAAATCCAATTAAAACTAGAGATTTAACATAAATGGCAATAAGGACATCCCAAGAGCATCAAGTTCAAGAGATCAGAGAGAATGTACTAATGAATCTCACAGATCTCCTACCGTTAGAAGGTCATAAGATGAAGACAGGAAGTCAGAGCAGATCAGAGCAGATATAAGAAGCAGAAACAAACAAGGAGAGTACATAAAATTGATAAACAAAGAAACAACCCCTATACAAAGGAGAGGAGGAATCACCAGAAAGAATGATAAATAAAATAGAGGCAAGTAAACTATCAGACATTGAGTTCAAAATAATGCTTATAAGGATGCTCAATAAGCTTAGTAAGAACTACAGGGAATCTACAAGAAACTTACTGTGAACTACATCAGTATGAAAAATGACATAAAAATTATTGATAAGAGCCAGTAGGAAATTAAGAATACAATTTCTGAATTGAAGAACACGGTAGAAAGCATTAAAAGAAGGTTAGATGAAGCAAGGAATTAAATCAGGAAGCTGGAGGACAAGGAAGAAAAAAATCCCACACAGAGCAACAAAATGAAGAAACTCATAAAGAATAAGAAGGTTTAAGGGAGCTTCAGGACAATGTGAAATGTAATAATATCCATATCATAGAAGTACCAGAAGGATACAAAGAGGAGAAAGGCATAGAAAACCTGTTAGAAAAAGTAATGACAGAAAAATTTAATAAATTGATGAGAGAAAAACTCGTGCAAGTCCAGGAAGCACACAGATTCCCATACCAGGTGAATTCAAAGAAGCCCACTGTAAGACAGATCATAATAAATTGGCAAAATTTAAGCACAAAGAGACAATATTAAATACAGCATGGGAGAAATAGCTAGTAATATACAAGGAACCTCAATAAGGCTATCAGCTGATTGCTCAACAGAAACACTATGAGCCAGAAAGGAATGAAATAAGTATTCCAAACACCTATGTAAGTAATGAAAATAAATAATGAAAAAAAAACATTAAAACTACAAAATATATGTTATTTTTTAGTCTACAAAAATAAATATAAGAAATGGGGGGGGGTAAATAAATAATGAAAAGCAAAGCCCTGCAAGAGTACTCTACCCAGCAAGGCTCTCAATTAAAATGAAAGGCAAGTAAGGAACTTCCCTGGTTTAAAAAAAAAAAGGCAAAACTGAAATCTTTCCCCTAAGATCAAGAACAAGACAAGGATATTCACTTTCACCACGTTTATTCAACAGAGTATTGGCAACACTAGCCACAGCAATCAGACAAGAAAAAGAAATAAAAGACATCTAAATTGGAAATAAGGAACTAAAATTGTCGTTGTTAGCAGATGACATGATAGTGTACATATAAAACCCTATAGGCTACACCAAAAGACTACTCAACCTAATAAGTGAATCTGGAAATATTGTGTGATACAAAGTCAACGTTCAGAAATCTAAGGCATTTTTATATACCAACAATGAAATATCAGAAAAGGAAACTATAAAAATCCCATTTACTATAGCAACAACAAAAAAAAGTACTTAGGTATATACTTAACCAAGGAGGTCAAAGGCCTGTACTTAGAAAACTACAGAACTGTAGTGAAATAAATTAAGGAAGATACAAACAAATGGAAGCATATACTATGTGATAGATTGGAAGAATCAACATCATTAAATTATGTTCATACAACCCAAAGCATTATATACATTCAACACAATCTTTATCAAAATACCACTGACATACTTCATAGATATAGGAAAAATATTAGAAAAACTTTTATGCAACCCAAAAGGACACTGAGTAGCCACAGCAATCTTGCAAAAGAAGAACGAAGTAGGAGGAATCACATTACCTGATATCAAACTATACTACAAGGACTCTGTAATCAAAAGAGTCTAGTACTGACAAAAGAACAGACACACTAGATCAATGGAACACAATAGCCCAGAAATAAACCCATGCTTCTATAGTCAATATTTGACAAAGGCACAGAAGCATAAAATGTGCTAAAAATAGCCTCTTCAATAAATAGTGCTGGGAAATTCTAAATGGTACAAAAAAATAAGTGAAACATGACCAAGAACTTACACAAACATCAGAAGAAACTCAGTATGGACAATAAGCCAAGACAACATAAAAGTCCTAGAAAAGAATATACGCAGTAAAATTTCAGATATCCCACAGAGCAGTATTTTTGCCAATACATTCTCTAAGGCAAGGGAAATAAAGGAAAGAATAAACAAATGGGACTACATCAAAAATCTTCTCATGGCTAAAGAAAGCATCAACAAAATGAAAAAAGAACCAACCACTTGGGAAAACAATTGCCAATGATGAGATCTGGCATGTTCAGGGTGGTATGACCATAGATAAAAATTGCCAATTGACGGTCTGGTTTGACTTTGCATAGAGGTACCCTGATGCAGAGTTTGACCAGTGGTGTCCACAGTCTCGTAGATGAAACAAACAAATTCACATGGACTGCAGAAGTCCTGTGGAGAAAAAGGAATGCCATGGCCACTCTCTGAGTGAATGTGCCGACCCTTGCCTGGACAGGCTTTATTTGCTTTATTTTATTGCAGGGGCGACTTTGCCCGCAAGTCCCCTCGTTCACCACAGATGAAAGTAAAACTACCAAGACATGATCTGCTTGGGGAGGAGAGGTGGCCAATTTCTCAGAGGAAAAAGGCCAGGAGCCCCTTCCTCAAGGTGCTTTTATTGGGTTGTAATACACAAGAATACAGGCAGCAATGATCAAACAGTAGATAACATTTCAAAGAAATCCGAGGATTTAGTCTGAGTCAGTGTCTGTCAGGAAAGGGGGTTTCAGAAACTTTGGGAGACATACTAATTTCCTACTCAGACCATTATCATATGAATGAAAGCACTCTTAGCAAAACAGGCTTCACAGGACTTTTAGGAATTCTTTCTTATGCTTGATCACCCCAGATACTGCTCTAGCTGGCAAAAGGCTGTACCGCCTCCTCCATCACAGGTTTTCAGGCTTAAGTGTATTAAAGCCAAGAAGTGCTTCTCCCAGAGGATATGGGGACTATGTCAGAATAGCCCTCCCAAGGGCTATGTCAGAATAGCTGGGGGGCGAGGGTCTATTACTCCCTCTTTGTTGCAGCCCCCTGAGTCCTTCCATGATGGTCTCCCAAGTGATTGTGTCTGGCTCAGGTTGCCCTATCTCTGAGGAGTTGTACCCATCTCTGACTATCTGACCATGCATTTGGGGCAGGGGAGTAAGCAGAGGCAGCATTTGCTATCAGAGACAAGCTTTGTCTCCTTGTGGCTTGCATTCTAGAGGTCACTCACTCATCCTTAGCCATGAGAGGCAGTTATAATTTTTGAAACCAGGCAGAGTGGTTCCCAACATCTTTTTATTTTATTTTATTTTATTTTATTTTATTTTATTTTATTTTATTTTATTTTATTTTTTTTTATTTTATTTTTTTATTTTATTTTAATTTTATTTTTTTGTTCGAGTACAGCTTTCTTTCTTTTATTACTTTCTAATAGCATACATCAAAGAAGGTTCTCATTCATTATGCTCAGGTTGCTTTAAGTGATTACCTTTTACCAATAACAAAGGAAAAGATGTTGCTGATTACTTCTTACAAATAATATTCAAAGACCTATGAGGACTTATTTTAGGTCAGGGTCAGTTTGCCAAAGGGCCATAAAACTTTGGGAAACAAACTCATTTTGTGCTTGGACCCTTACCAGGAAATTGAGGGCATTTTAGCAAAGCAGATTTCACAGGATTTTATGCATTCTTTCTTAGGCCCGATCACC